TCTAACCTCATTGAGAAGCCCGGCTGTAGGGCAGACACTTGCCTCTGAACTGGGCTTTTACACTGCAAAACCCCACATGAGGTTGTGAGGAAAGACGACCAACGATACCTGTTCACCAGCAGGAGTCGTGCATTTACGCTACTGCAGGTCACAAACCTATTAACCTGCTGGTGTGGCAGCACAAAAGAGTCTGACCTGTTGCTTCGTCTCTGGTAGTAAAAGAAAAGTAAGTTTATCTAGATGGCACCAGAAAAACCACAACTAACCAAAATGCAGAAGTGATTAAACTGCAGCAACATCATTATGTAGTTGCGATGGAACAGCCGTCACTACATTTCAGTCTAAATTTGTTTTTTTAAATTCCTCCCACATTTTTTATCTGCATACATTTCTAGCTGCAGGTTTTGTTGCGTAACAATTGGGGGGGAAGAAAAAAAAAAAGGCAAGTTTTTAAAATTAACCACAACTAAAAGAAAAAGCGCCTGCTTTTGTTTAGTGTGATTAATTAGTACGGCTATTTTTATTACTTTGGGTTGCTGACATCGAAGGATTTACTGCTATGTTTACTGCCTGTGTTGGTATATGAAGCAATTCGTCAGGCCACGTTGCAGACGGAGCACAAAATCTCATCTATTCTTCCATCATGTCTTTTAGTCTAATGTTTATTTCTGGAAAAAGAAAATAAACGCTGACAGCAAAGTAGTGACATATTTTAATACGGTGATGACAACGTGACTGAAAAAGTTGGTCAAAAATAGCTTTTCTTTACATAGAAGCTCATAAGTTTTGATTGCCAGGCATCAGTTTCTCACACAGTTAAACTAATATGATCTGAGTGTGTTCGCAGAGCAAGTTTTCCATCAGCTTTACCAATTTGTAATCAGGTAGTATTAGAGAGCTGGCACTAATTTAAGTTTTTGTATTGTTAATTGCCGTAACCAGCAATAGAAACAGTCTGAGCCGTTTCTATTCAAATCAAAATGATGCGAGTGAATTGCTGAGTTTTTGGTTACTGTAGGGGCGGATCTGGCACAAAAACAGTCAACTGTTAACTGTCAAGCCCATGTTTGGCCTCCAGTTAAACATCTGCATTGGCTCTACGCTGCCAACAGTATCCACGGCTAGCCTGCGCTGCCAGACAGGATGTGTTTGAGCATGAGTTGAATTGCTGTTGTTCTACTTTCCCATTTTTTTTTGTTTTCATGGAACATGAAATCTGTCGCTGCTCGTGACTTATCTACTTACCAGTTTCATGATCGCGAAATTGGAAATCTGCACCACACAACGTGCAATTTAATACAAACGAAGAAAATATCATTTAGCCCACGACAGCTGCTGTCTTCTAAATCTGACAGCTCACGAAATCGGTTTGAAAAATGCAAATATCTATCACAAACGGCATTAAAGACCCCCTCCCACATGTCCATATGGTGTTACTGTATACGCAAGAAGACATGTCATAAGCAAAATAAGCAGTCAACACCATGGCTGAGCATTTCCAACATGGAAATTAAGCATACTAATGATTCAGACTTAAAGGGTTTCACGTGTAACCGACCTCAGGAACCAATCCTGTCAACTCGGAGGAAGTCGCTTTCCATATCGTTATTCTTCCACAAAAACGGTTTCTAGTTCCAACAATATAACTCCAGTATTACAACCCGCCATCGTGTAGCAGACAGTAGTTTCACAGAGTTGTAGGTGAGCTGGTGAAAGTGGGCAGCAGCCAGTAGAAAGAGAGAAAGCAAAACTGTAGAGTCGCATCTAAGCGATTTTCAATCAGGAAGCGATTGTAGGCAATGAGTCTGTGTCGCCTTATTTGTCAGGAATCTGTGCATTTTCCTGCCATTTCTGACCATTTGATGAACACAAATGTCTAATATAGCTAAAGAAATGAAACCCAAGTCAACATTTTTTATTTATTTTTTAAAATATATATATACACGCACACTTATAACAGCAAGAATGTATATTTATTTTGTGCTATATCTCTTTTTTATTTTATTTTCATATGAATACTTTTTATTTTACTATATATCTTTCCTTCTACTTCTTTAAGACTTTTGATTGGGAGCATCAACTCAAGCAATTTCCCCTAGGGGATCGATAACGTATCTCTGATTCTGATATTCTTATTTTTTCTTATTTGGCACCAGCGACTCTCCTCTGGCACTGACTAAACTCTTTTTGGAGCGTGCCACCTAAACTCTTATTGTGGGTGGACACACTATGTGGTTGCACCTTTTCTAAATTACTCTAAGTATTGTTTTCTGCATTGTGTTCTAGGTAACATTGATGCATACTGAGCAACATACAGGCCGTTTCTCCCTAACAGCCCAATACTCCCCATCAGCTGATCGGTGTATCGGGCTCCATGTCTACTCACTAACAACATCAAAATCCCTCCAATCCATCTCATCTCGCTGCCGTCTTTTCAGATGCTCTAATAGGGTAATTGCGTTGAAGTATACAACACCCTAAATTCAATAATGAGAGACAAACCAAATCCTAAATCAATAGCCGCAAGGCATGACATGAATTACTGCCTACAGTCCATTAGTAATCTGAAGACTCCTTGACTCAGCTGTGAATGTGCTCACTGGTATCCATCATGATAATCTGCAGCGTGGAGTGAATCACTGCAGGACTGACAACAGGACTGTGTTCTAAATGCTGCACATGAGTCATTATTGTACTGTGGGAGGAAACTAGGCTGCTCAGGGCACCTGCTATGGACACAAATCTATACCATGCAGAGCGAAGATACCGTGCAGGGTGCTGGATTGGCTGCCGAACACACTCTTGTGTAACGCTACTCGTGCAACAGTCAGTGTGCTAACCACTGGACCAGACCTCCACTAAGCTGGTGCTGCACTCTGACAATTATACTTTGTGTGACAGTCGAAGTATTACTGTCTCATCCTCACATGTGGCTTTTCGCTAAGTTGATTTAATCTTTCCCATCATTCCTAAAAATAGAACCGATTCACGACGTCACAACTCTGATAACTATCACAACAGACGAGGATGAAAACCACGAGAAGCGCATTTATCACGCGTAAATTTACAAATTATTACTGAAATTAAAAAGGTGGCTGTCACCAGAGTTTCCTTAGTTTCAGATTCATACAGACTAAAGCAAGTGTGTGTTTCGACGTGGGATCCAAATCCAAAAGTCACCGGATGCACTTTTATGCCAGCTTCAAACAGCATGCAGTCATAATAAATATAAAAAATATACAGTCGTGACTCGATAATCCGACCCTTAACAATCCTAAACCTGCTATCCAACAGGTTTTTAGGAAAAACGAATGGAACCCATAAAAACAGCCTTAACATACCGACAGCCTTGGATTCTGACTCCGACATGACATTTAATGTCACCAATCAGGATGACGGCGTATTATCTGACTGAACAATCCCACAGATTGGCTACGTTCACACTGCAGGACTTGATGCTCAATGAGGATTTCTTTGTGAAATCCAATCCAGTTTGTTCACATTTCCAATTAAATGCGACTTGTATGTGATCTGCTGTGTGAACTTCATACGACCCAAAAGTGTCCCGCATGTGCAGCAGAGGCGTGCTCAGTGTTTACGGAAGTAAACGGGAATGGTAGCGGTGGGGCGTATCTGCCACTCCCCCGCCACTGGAAACAGAAGTGTGAGCGCTAACTAAACTAGCATCAGCAGCCAAGTACTGCCTGTGTGTTCTGGACACTTCCACCCCATCGGAGCGCTCCCCTGGGCTGGAAGTGTCCGGAACGTGCATAAGCGCACCGGTCAGTGAGGCGTGATATCCAGCGATGCGTAGTGTTCTAACAATACACTATTTATTATAACAACCATAAACAATAAATATTACCAACTAATGAGCCTTCCAGCATCAAGCCCTCCTTGTATCTCGACCTCCGTCTTGACAATCCGACAGCCTTGCTATCCGACATAAAAGAAGGTTTAACATTTAGTGTCGAGTTATCGAGTCACGACTGTATCTGCATTCTGCTGATTCACTGCTAGTACGACTGTGACTCACAAGTTCAATGACTAGGTGTGTTCTCTTTCATTCTACTCTGTATTTTTACTACTATTTCAGCCACTACTATTTCACTATTGTGAATTTCATGCAACCTGTAGAGAACAAATTAGGACTGATCCGAGTAAATCATTCTTGTTGCTGTAAGAAATACACAGAAGTCTTGTGCGACAGTCGCTAACATTAGCTTAGCGAAGGTCAATTTGGCTTTAACGGATGTTAGAAGTTTGTCAGAATCTTAAGTCAGAGGACAAACTGCATACAGTGAATTTGTTTGATGAAGCTTCAGACATTTACTGTAATGATCCTTGAACAAACGTAACGGTCAGTACCATCTTATCCAGTAGGATTATGGGACTTGTGTGTGTAATCGTTCAAACTTCCAAAAGCAACTAGTTGACAACATAAGAAACTCTGATAGAAAACTGTCTCAAAATCAAACATATTGTTAAAGTATACTGAGAGAAAAGACTCAAAATTAATGCACTTGCAGAACTGGTAGAAACAGCAGAGTTCTGGTTTCAACATGCATTCAGTGAGAGAGTGAAAGCGAAGGAGAAGAAGGGACATACAAAAACCCAACCCATTAAATTAATCCAAGATTATTAGGCTCTTCCTGTGTGTACAACGTGCACTTTGTGGTTAAAACGTAATCAGTGTGGTAAGGGGTTTTGCATGAAGACAGTACCATGTGCCTCACGTGCCGCTGACATGACACACCCTGTCTAGACACACGATCAGCCGCCATTTTTTTAATCCCGCTCAAGTGCACAGGATGTTACACAGTGACAGAGAGAGGAGTCCTCTTAGCTGCTAAATAATAAACACTGCTAATAGTACATAATTTAACACTTGGGAACTAATTGCTCCTGTTGTTGCTCTGGGCACTGCACGAGTTTATTCTCTATTAAAGGCCAAAGAAGTTTAGAGAAGGACAAATTAACTTTAATGAGTGCATCCTCACCATGTTGGTGATCTCCGGGTACGCGGACTCCACCAGCACACCTCTGTTGGTGGAAACAAAGTCCACCAGCTCATTGAGCGTGGCCCTCTTGATCTCCTTGCTTTTCAGGTCCGTCACCGAGTCCAGGAAGTCGAAGAGCATGCAGCACTGCTGGAGCTTCTGGGTAAACAGTTCCTGTTGCTCCGTGGAGGGGGCATCTGGAATCACACAAAAGGAGGAAATACACTGATTCACCGCTGGCAAAGCATGATCTAATTTAATAGATTACAGAAGAGAAAGGCAGCGCGACTTGCTTGTGCTGAACAAAAACAGGGTTGTGCATTTTCATGTTTAAGGATAGACTATTGATCAGCCTGGCCAATTATCGAGGCCAATATGTGCCATTTTCCATTTATCGGTATCTGTATTTTTATTGACCCATTATTGATCAACTAAACGCACGACTTTAGGTCTGATGTAATCACCCAAGAAACACAAGCGGTTTCCACAAACCAGGAAATTAGCCACTCTCACCGTGGCTAAGCTAACAGATACCAGCTAAGTTAGAAGGCAGCCGAAAATTACCCTTAAAGTGGAAAACAACAACTAATAATGCTTTTAGATGTGGACTTTAGTGGGCAATTAAAGTGATAGAACAATGAAAGATTAAGAAAACGGAGAAGAACAGCTGACGAACAGGAGACAAACTGACCAATCTCAGTCGATCCAACATAAATAGAGCGGGGCGTCTTAATTTAATCACTCCTATTTCTATTCTACATGTTCAGTTCTAGTCATCCTTATTATTGAAGGAGCCTCGTGGTGAATGACAGGTTCTCTGCTGTCAAGCTGACTTCAGTTTTTGGCATCGGTGGCTAATTCAAAACCTGTCTGAGCAGGTCTGCAGATACGCAGTCACAACAAAGCAGCGTCTAATGATCTTACTTATTGCATAATAGTACTAACGAAGCTGTGAGGAAACAAACATCCAGACAGACACAATACACCTTATGTATCTGCCACACAGAGGCAACCCAGTCATTCTCGGCTTTGATAGCAAAGCCTTTTATGGATTAGGCGGTGAGTGCCTTCAGGGTTATTAGAGCTGTCAAACTTGACCCCAGCTAAGCTATAAACAGCATTTGGCGGCCGTCCAGACATGCAGTGACACACTGTACAGTGATGTTCTGTTCCAGCACAGCGGCAGCTCGTCGCTGCAGACACTGGACTCATTCTGTAACAGCAGCAGAAGCAGCATGTTACAGCATCGGTGAAGCCACACTGATTTACAACTGCTCAACAACCGGATACCCCAAAGGTTCTGGGGTTACGCAAATACAGATCCGGTCCATGACAACTGTTGACACTGAGGTATATGCATATGTCTCCACTGAAGTTAATGTCTAAACTAAATTATATTAAGTTTAATATGTTACAGGTACTTATGAGTTATTGTTCCTACTTTGACACATCTCTACCAGATCCTGGGTTACTTCCTTGGGATTACTTACAATGACAAGTGACACTGACTATTTATATTAATTACTTTCCCAATACATACAAAAGCTGAAACAATTGGTTGATTAGTTAGTTGGGTGATTGATCAATAGCATGGGTGATTTTAAAGGCAGACATTTGCTGGTTTTTGGCCCTCAGCTGTTAGAATTGGCTCCTTTTTGTTGTGCGATATGACGATAAACTCTTTGGACAGTTGGGCCACACAAAACAAGCAATCTCAGTTTGTCACTTTAAGATCTGACATTTCACATTTTGTGACATTTTACTGGAGGAACAAAAAAAATCTGCTAGGATAATAGATGAATAAATCATGACAATAATGGTGTAATGCACTGCTAAAACACACAAACACGTTTGCGTGCATCCACCCTCTGTTGCTAGGGAGCGTTGTTAACCAAGAGACGAGTCACAGTGACAAGAGCGAAGCGGACCGAACAGGCATTGCTCCATAAAATGGCCCGGCATGGGGAGATCTCACAGTCAGGCACAGAAAGAAAATTCACAATGAGTTTCACACGTAGTGAAAATGTTCCAGTGGTGTTGACAGCTGACGAAGGACTTATGCAACTGAACCCAGCAGGTCAGACCACTGGCTGCCGCTCAGAGTGAACTCAATATGTGAGTGTAACTGTACCAAGCTGACTTGTTAACGCACTACTTTGCCTTAATGCCAATTTTCCAAAGTATCGAATCTCAAAGGATTCCACACTGAAAGGGCAGACTGAATACCAAACTGGAACAAGAAACATAAAAGGGCCACGATGCCCCCGCGGCCTGAATGTGCTGTTGCTAACATGACACACGGATAGGTCGCATTTCTTCCCCGTAAGTGGTATGTGGTCAACATGTGCAGGGCTGGGTGTCATCGTCCTGGACAGGAATGCTACATTCAAGTCTTCAGTGTTTTCCAGGCAGTAAAGAGCACACACACACTCAGCAGTGCAGTCGTGTGAGCGCAGCCTAAAGGAACAGTTTTGGGAAATGCACTTATTTGGTTTTTAGCTGAGAGCTACATGAGAAGATTGATGCTCTCTCTCCTGAGTTCGTGGCAAATATGAATCAGCAGCTAGCAGACAATTAGCCTAGCGCAAAGACTGGAAACAAGAGGAAACAGCTAGCATGGCATTGTCCAAAGGTAAAGAAAAATCCACCTACGAGCACATCCAAGGCTCATAAATTAACACACTGGATTTCATTTATTTAACCCTCTGAACCTCAGGCATTTTCTAGGCATTTTTTTCCTCACTTCCTGCAACATTTTTACTTGCTGTGGGCTCATTTTTTGCTGCAACATTAAGTCCTGCACCTCAATGGCAACGAGCCTGAAGCCGAGAGAAATGAAAAATGTCTTCTGTGCAGTTTAACAAAGTTATAATGCTGCAAATCATACAAAAAGAAAAAAAGAAAGTTGAATTTCTTTTTTTCTGGTTATGCTGAGGCGCATATACGAAATCTAGTTACTACAAAAGTTTTTTTTAATTATTTTTGGCAAATCTTTCAATGGGGCACGTAGCATCCAGTGATTTATATGCAATATCCCGATGTTTGGCTTATATTTGGTCGTTTTTCCAGACAACACCAAAAGCCACACAATGAGTTTGAGCACCGTTGGAAAGTCAAAAGTGCAGGTCTTCAATATTTTTCTGCCTGAAGCATGCCTTATAATTCAATTATGATAATTCATGCATGACACGACAAACCTCTCTGTCTCTGCTTCATGGAACATTCTAAACTGGGTTTTCACACTTGCAGAATATATTTTCTGTAAGCTTCCTTGGCAAGCAGAGTATGTAAAATTCCTTTCATTTCTTAATGGGGATTGTCTTCATACCCCTGAGAGGAAAAAATGGCATTGCCTGCTAGATGCTGTCTGACATGGAGACGCTTTTCCCAATGTGAAGCTATTTTTGCCTTTTGCGTACAGATGCATTAGTGCACAAATTCCTCAGGGTGCTCAGCAAAGGAAGGGAATATTTCCATTAGAACCAAGAAGCTATAAACGAGAACAAAGAACAAGAAAGCATCCGAGACATCAGAAAGAAATTCCAAATTAATCAAGCTGCCGAAGACTGATTTTTGCTTCTTCTGAGCAACAAATGTTGGTAATGTGAAGGATGCATGACTCCCGAAAGAAATGTTTAATCTTGGAATCACAACCACAGTGTAGCCAGCATTGAAAGCAACACGAGACACCAGATTTAGCCAAAGTAATCTCCCTGTGCAGCATATTCTGACTGCTGAATCTCACACAAAGCTCCAGGAATCACTTACGCTACTATCTGGATGCAATAACATGCAATTTCATAACCACACATGGACATGAGTCAGAGAGCGGCTCAGGGTTAAAAGGAAAGACAGATACAGCGCAAGATGTATAATTACGCCTTTGAATTATTTTAGTTGCCCAGTAAATAATTCACAAACGGTCTTAAACGTGTCCGTTGATCTCTTCAGGCAGCGGTGTCCTACGAATGAACCACTATATCTTCTGACTATAAAGGCGTCTACAGGGAGGAACTGCTGCGGCTTTAAAACAAAGAATATCTGGAGAGTATGTTTTGCGATTCATGACTGACCTTTAGAGTTTCCTAATGATAATGGCACAGCCTCAAACTACAGACAGAGGGAGCATCATTACTCTCAAACATCACGCTTAGGAACAGATGTGATCAGATATCAGCACAGTTTTGTGACAAATAATCGCCCAAGTTTGTCACGTACGTAGTTCGTTCTGCTGAAAACCCTGAAACTAGAGAAACGCAGCGGCTCATCTCCTCCGTATTTAGCAACAACAGATTGTAAATGTTGCCGACCGCTGTCATGAAGAAACCGCATGTTGCACAAGCTATTTAGTAATAATATTCTCTGGGTTCCATTTAATGTTTTTTCAGCCTACTGTAAATGGGCGAACACCACATTGGCTCATGTCGAGGTTTGTTAAGTACCACACTTAGAGAACAAAGCAAGTTTGGTGTGCAGCACAATGTACTGTGCTGTTATTTACAAATCCTATTAGTGAATATTCAGAAGATTTGCTAAACTGAACCAATGAGGGAACTATTATTTATTTTTTTGTATTGCAAATGAAATGGCACTTTGAACTGCCTGGGTTTGACATTTACACATCAGTTTCATGTACTCTCATTATATATTGCAACTTTAACAGCAACATACACAGAATAATAACAAAGAATAAAGACCAGATTTGATGACAAAAGAGGAACCACTGAGTGATACCAGCTCTGCAACCACAGCACTGCAGGAAGCCTCACAAAAACGTGCCATGAAGCGCTCAGTTATTTCTGATTGGCAAGCTAAATAACTTCAAGAAACTATATGATGGACATCTGGACACACAGGACATGAGAGGTCACCGACTGGCTTCAACGGTTGAAACCATCCTCACTTTACTTTTGTTGCCTCACACTTTCGCACAGCGCGCTACATGTCACGTCCATTTGGACTGTTTGCGATGAGAACAGGAATTTTCGCTTTGCTCTAATCATCAATAATGTTGAGATGTACACGGGGGAAGCAAACAGTTCTGAGAGAACTACAATGACGAGGGTTTGAGAGGAAGTATTGTGCATAAAATTGCACAAATTACTGCAAGCGACGGGTTGAACAAGTTCAGTATTCCATGGGAGACGCATCCCTTGCAGCACAGACTATATAATTACATGCATCCAATGATTTATAA